GGTGGTCAGCGGGATGTGCAGCCGGAGCTCAGTTGGCTGGGGCGGTCAATGGGGTCTAGCAGCAGGAGCCCCATGGAGTGCAGAGTGCGGAGGAAATTTAAACTTAAATCTGTGGAAATATTCATTTTTAGGAGGGGGTTCCCAAGATTTTACAATTTAGTGAAAGGGGTTTGCGGGCTGTTAAAGTTTGGGAATCACTGTATTACTGTATCCCATTGATTTACCGTTATTCCACCAAGTTTCTGTGATGCCCATTATGTCAATATCCTCATTTAATACGAGGCACTCTAGTTCTCCCATTTTATTATTTAGAATAGCATTGGTATATAAGCATTTTAAAAACTTGTCTCCTTTTAGCTGTCTGCCATTACACGATGTAATTGAATGGGACTCTTTTTTATTTGATTGTTTCTGATCAGGCCCTGCCTGTATTTTATTGTTTTCCAGCCTCTCGTCCTCACTAGGACATAGAGATTCTCTATTAATAGATCCTCCCCTAAGGGATATCCAAACCACATGCTCCTCCTCACCCAAACACCCTTTCAGCGGACCCTTCCCTGCCCCTTCCCCAAGGCCCTGCCCACTCCACCCCTCTCCCTCCGAAACTCACTCTCCCTCACCCTCACTCACTTTCACAGGGCTGGGGCAGGGGGTTGGGGTGCAGGAGGGATTATGGGATGGGGCCGAGGGGTTCGGAGAGTGGGGGGGGGCTCTGGGCTGAGCCTGGGGTAGGGGGTTGGGGTGCAGAAGGGGATGCAGGGTCAGAGCTATGGGAGGGAGTTTGGGTGCAGGAGAGGGCTCAGGGCTGGGGCAGGGGGTTGGGGTGTGGGAAATAGTTCGGGGTGTGGGCTCCGGCCGGGTGGTGCTTACCTCGGGCAGCTCCTGGAAGCAACCGGCGTTTCCGGCTCCTAGGCTCAGGGGTGGCCAGGCAGCTCTGTGCGCTGCCCGTGCCTGCAGGCCCCCCTTCGGTTCCTGGCCAATGTGAGCTGCTGAGTCGGCGCTTGGGGAAGGGGCAGTGCGCAGAGCTGCCTGGCTGCCCTTACACCTAGTAGCCAGAGGGACGTGCCGAATGCTTCCGGGAGCCGTGCAGAGCCATGGCAGGTAGGGAGCCTGCCTTATCCCCACTGTGCTGCCAACCAGACTTTTAGCGGCCTATTAAAATCTACCAGTTTGGTTTCAGTAGCCACCAGATTGGTTTCAGTAGTTAGGAGATCAATTTGGATTCTGGGAGGGTTGGCAACCCTAGGTGTGGTCATCACAGAGTTGAAGCAAAGGAGCATCATAAGTCGGAGAATGGTGAAGGTGGGACAACTGGGGTGAAGCAGGACTTTGCAGCCAGGGAGAGGAGGAGTTGATTACCTCTTGGAGTGACACAGCATGGTGTTGAAAAATGTCTTTTATTGTGGTGGTAACTTAGGTTTTATTATTTTCCTAAGCGAGTACTGGATTTTAATATAATATAAATAATAGAGTAATAATATAATATAAAATATTGTTCCTGACAAATTTCTGTTTTTTTCCTTAACCTTAAATTTTAAACTTTATTATCTCCATTGTGTTGGTTTGTCTCTGCCTCTCCTCACAGTAGGCAAAGCCGAGCTGAGGCCTGGGTCACTGCACATGTTCCCACCTGTTATAGTTCCTCAGCATCACAAGAAAATTATTGGATAAATTAGATGGAATACAGACAAGAAAATAAAGTGGACTATCTGGAGATTGGGAGAAATTAAATTATGTACAGCAGTGACTAGAAATATATGCATTACAATTTAATAGGAAGATTTAGAAAGGGCTTCTATATTAATAGTGACAGCTTGAAGGATAGTTTTATTGGCTAAAATAATAGCTGGCCCAATTATGATTAACAGATGCTTTTAGCTGAAATAAAGGGATATATGTGATAAATAAATGCAATGAGTTCTAAGCATTATAGTTAATTTTATATAGTTAAAATAAGCCTCCTTGATGCATCTGGTGATAGTCTTACAATAGCTGGGTGCGATGTATAATTCATTTACCAAGAGATAATCTATGTGAGTGTATGTAACAGACAGCAGTGGTATTTTTGTCTGTTTATATGTACATTGTATTGCATCACTGAGGAAGGCAGTGCATCAAGGAGGCTGGGAAAAGCAAGCAAGCCTTCACCTAAAATTTCAGTTCAAATCCAGTTTCCTCAAAGATGGCCAGTGCCTGTTTGCCTAATGTTGTACACTAGGTTCCATCCACTGCTATCGTTTCCCAAGTGACAGTACGAGTGCGGAGGCAGCCCCTTCTAGTGGTTAGAGTCTATAACGTTGGCCCTGCCTAGCGGTAAAAGTCTGTGGTGGCAGCCCTGCCAAGCAGCAGTGGGTAGGGGTAACCAGGCCCTCCAAGTCCACTGGCATCTGACCCAGGTGTTGTCTTGGGTGCTGTAAGGAAGACACCCGCTATCTGTGGTCTAGCTAACACCCTTCCCCAGGGTCTCTTCCTATCGCTTTTTCCCTCCTTGGGGCACATTGTGGCTTGTGGTTGTCCCTTGCAATGCAGTCAAGGGCCTCTGAAGGCTGGAAAGTCCCAGCTTCATGCAGCAGTGCTCCTCCTACAGATACTCTCCTGGCGTAACCCCTCCATAACAGTGAGTGCAGGTCTGTCTCTCTCCACATGCCACCCTGCTGTACTGAAGAGATTCCCTGGCTGGCCCCAGAGTTGTTCTGCACCCCTGTCTTTCCAGTGTGAGATTTAGCTACCCCATTATAGTCATGTTAGGTAACTGCTTGATGATTGTCTTTAAAGCCAAGGGTGTTGACTGCCACACTGATATGAACCTTTACAATAATAATTTTTTTTTTGCTTTGTTATTTTTTCCATTGGAACTCTAAAATCTGATAAGTAGAGCTTGGGAAAATGTAAGAGCAGTAAATTACTTATGATCTGCAAAATTTTTCAGAAGTGGTAAAGTACATTAAATGTAAAGTATTGTTTGCTTTCATATCCCTTTTCTCCTCTCTCTATCCCCCATACTACCTACTGTCCTGTGCTTTGGCTTTTCACAGTCTTTCTGGCAGATCCAGTTATATTTTTGAACCTGGAAGTTGTGACCCAGGGTCCTGGTGCCAAATGGCAAAAGGCACAGGAGCTGCATATGGTTTTACAGGAATATTCTGGGTTGGATATATGCATAATAGTTCACCGAAGGGTAGCATGTGAGGTCTCGGCTGAGAGCCAGTGGCTCACCGGTCATCATAATCTTTGCAAAATGTACTTTTAATATGTAAGGAATTATGAATCTATACTAAAAATTGTGATCTTAAGATCTTGGAGTTTAGGCAGGTCACCAAGAGGTGATGTACCTCGGAAATGTTCCTTTCAGGCAGGAGATAACTGATATCTATTTTCCTGTCTGGTCATTTGGGTATTATCTACTGTCATACAGCATGGCCAGAAGGCAGCAGGAGAGTGATATAGGAGGAATATGTAAGTCCCAGGATGAGGAGAAGCCTTATTCCCTGTAGAGGGAAGAAAGGTTTCTATAGATTAATTAAAAGCACCTGAAGCCAGTTAGAGCACCTGAAGCCAGTCATCTGTTAAAAACTCCCTGCTTCAATCAGCCAGAAGAAGGAGTTGGAGCAGAGTGGTTTGGAGTTGGAGCAAAGAGCAGTTTGAAGGAGTTGGAGCAGAGTGCAGTTTGGAGGAGTTGAAGTAGAGGAGAGTTTGGAGAAGTGCCGTGGCTGGCTAAAAGACCAAGACCCTAGGTAAAGAGATACCCGGCTTGTGCAGAGAGAGGGCAGGAAGCCCCACAAGCTGAAGAGCAGGAGGGGAAGTAGCTGAGGGGAAGGAAGCATTAGTTCAAGTGGTTTGCCACTATCCCTAGGGCTCCTGGGCTGGGACCTGGAGTAGACGGTGGGCCCGGGTCCCTCCCTCTCCACTACCCTTCTCTGGGTTACTAGTGGGACAGTAGATACCCTAGTTCAGGGGCAGGAAACTGCACCCTGAACCCCTTCCCCTCCCCCCCCAAGAAGAGGAAGCGTGGGACCCATCATAATCGTGCCAGCAATTTGCCACAGTACTGTATGTCTATATGCATACTGAACCCCTCCGGGCTAAATAAGAGATTGCAAAATCTACAAGATGAAATGAACAGTAGGAGGTGTCCTTTTTATGAAAAAAGGCAAAGGACTGTTCTGGTATATCCAGTGGGGGCAAAGAAACACACCGAATCCTTCATGTAGGAGGCAAGCTGACAGCATGTCAGCCTCATGAAAGGAGGGTCACAGCCAAGGCTGGGTATAAAACACTGAAAGGAGTTTGGGTGAACCAAACTCTACAAGACATGAGTGTTAATTAAGTCTGGGATCTAGAACGTGTGTTATGATTTTATTTTATATGTTGCCATTTGTTTCAAATACTTCTCCTGGCTATCGCTTGAATCTCAATACTTTGTTAAATAAACTTATATGATTTCACTATAAACATATCTAAGTGCTGTGTGTTAAGTGTGGAGACGTGATCTGAGGTGGAACTCCACTGCCCACCCATAGTAGTATAGTAGAATTTGATGTTTCCAGTGAAGAAGGGGTATAGGAAGTTATTTCTGAGAAACAAATTACCTGTACGCTTTGTGTTACTGACTCTTAAAATCCCAAACCTCTGTTTACCTGAATTCCACTGGTTACCAGATACCATTATTGAAAATGGGCCATTGGTGCAAAGTTCATAATCTTGGCCTTCTACTTAAACTCAGTCACAATATCTACTTCTGAAACATTGTCTGTGTTAGTTCTCTCATGTGGATAGCTAATAATACAATACTGTTTTCTCGTTTTTATATTGGAATGTGTGGCAAAGCCAATGAATTCTGATACACGGCTTTACAGAGGTACTTTTTATTAATTTTTTTTTACCTTATGGTAGAATGTTATGTCATGTCTGGAAATCAAGAACATTTGAAGCCCTATTTAAATTGCCTTTATATTTTTTCATGAATGAATTATATATTGTGACTGTCTGCCTTAATTTAGGTTTGTGCAAGTCAGAATCTATGCAGTACTTTGAGGAGAAAAGTGAGTGATATTGAGACCCAACTACCAGCTTTACTTGAAGCCAAAATGCTTGCTGTATCAGGTAAGGTTTACGTGATAAGAGATATGATGGTAATGACTTTAAGTTCATACTAGCATTGTGCATATTCACACTGATTTCCTAGAGAGTAAAGATTCCTTGTGTAATTACCACAATGTCTTAGAAAATGTTTTGTGAGGGGGATATGTAATAATCCTACTGAGAATGTGGTATCTTCAGCATAGTCCAAATATATAAATATGTGATCGGTAGATTTCCTGACTCTTACACGTTAAAAGTACCTATCACTCTTCAGTATCAGAAGAGCCTTACAAATAACAAAAAGTATAATAATTATATGGATGGATTTTAAATGACACCATAAAACGGAATACAATAATTGGTAGCTTCTGCTGTTTAGATTATTAAACAACTAATGTTGGCAGCAAAAGAGCAATTTGGTCCGTGGATGCACTCGTGCCTATTATTTACAACCAGTAAAACACTGAAATGTGAATACAGAGCCTGATTCATAACAGGGTTACATGCCACTTATTTGGGATTACTGCACCATTTACTAAGGAAAAAAGACTAAGCATAATTTTGTTTCTAAGTTAAAGAGCTGGCTTTTGTAGTTCAGCAAGTCTTTCCTACGCATGTAAGTAGATACCTCTCCATTAGGCACCTGCTACAGAGGACAAGCCAAAGTAGAGGAGGTATGGATTCAGGCACAAAATGTATTCAGTCTTGCACCAAATTAAAGAAAGAGGCCAGTGTGTATTTTATATATGCCAAAAGGACACACATGACCTGTGCTGTGGCTATTTACTCTCTTAATTAGAAGCTATAGTGCTATTTACAAAAGCATACATAATTTTAGAATAAAGTATCATGAGGTATCACATGTACTGCTTTCTACAGCTGAATAATGTAAAACTTGAATGCAGACTTCAGGATCAAACAAAATCCAAATGCAAATAATTAGGGCCCTGATCCTGCAAGATGCCAAGCATCCTCAATTTCCACAGTCTTCCATGAGTCTCTTAAAGACTAGAACCCCTTGTGTTTTGCTTGGGTAAGGATTGCAAGGTCAGAGCTGTAATGGATTTTCTTGTGCATACATTAAAGAAACACGGATCTGTGTATTTTTTGGAACCATGCACCAGATTCACCAGTATTCTCCAGCTGCTTTGCGCAAAGTAGCCAGACACCAGATTTACAGTTCTTGGTGTTGCGAGAGTGAAGAAGCCATAAAGAATTGGTGCATCAGATTTTGACACTTTCAGGAAATAAAATGTGTTCACCATGTGAAATCTTCTGTAGCAAAGCATTTTGTACTAGTTTTTAAAAGAGGTTGCTTAGGGTTCAGCAAGGGATGCAAGAGACAATTTAATGCTTCTGTAAACTGTCTTCTCAGTGCTATAAATATGTTGCTGTTGCATGCCTTTTTAGGAGTGACTGCTTTCACTTTGGCCCTCTGAAAAGCTCTTCTAGTCCAAGAGTATATCAAGGATTTTATAAAGTGTTCCTTCATTTTCCCCTTCCCAGATGTCTATATTTTGCTTTCATATGCTGGCAGGAATGATAACTGTTAACCTCTGACAAAACAGAAGCAAATTATTCTGAAGTTTGTTCGTCGACAGAATAATCTGTTTGGGTGCAATCTTGCAATCCTTACTGAGACAAAACTCCCATTTACTTCAGTGGAAGTTTTCCATGAGTAAGGATTATGGGCTCCAGTTCTGTAAATTCATGCGGTTCTCTTCCATTGGCTCTTTTTGTTTTTCTGCACTGGTAGTGTTTGTTTGGTATGTGTGATTCATGTGACTTGACTTGTTTGTATTTCTTTGTTACTAGTAGGGTTTTGAAGATTAAGTAATTTTTTTTGAAGGTGTAATAAAACTTCATAAAAGGACAGAAACCTGACTGCGGTTGCAAATGTCCAGACATGAGGCATCTAAGTAGGGAGGAGTTCAGGCCCCCTGAGATTTTTCTTTACGCAGTTGTGCCCTAAGGAAAAGCAAGAAGAGTAGAGGTAGAAAGTGAAAAGTTTATGACGCTGTCAGTCTGAGGAGTATCTTTATATTGCAGTTTAGGAGGAGTTTTATTTTCTGAATATGAGCCAGTTCCTGCAAAGTGCTGAGCCTGGTGTAAACCACAGATCCCACTGAATTCAGTGGGAGGTGCTGTGTCGCCTTCGCATCCTCTGAAGTCACTGGGAGAAGTTGAGGGCACTCAGCACAGCAGCTTGGCAAGATTATGCCCTATGTGATGTGTTGCTACAGTTTTCTTTCGTTTTTACCATGGAGTAACAAGGATCTGTGAGCAACAGAGTGAGACAATTTAAAGTAGAGAGGAAGCAACATTATTTTAATTTTTGAATTAAGTGTGGATGGATTTGATGACTTGGATGCTGTGGTTCTTCTGCTGATTCATAGCTAAATTTTGATATGGCTGTTGATAAAATCTGCATACTAGTTAAAGAGAAGAAAATTAAATATCCTACTTACTGTACACTCTTTAAGATATGGCGGGAAAGAGGCGGACACATCTGTAATGGTGGATATTGATCCATTGTTTCTCAGTGTACTGACCTGGATAGTTTATTTGCCACTCTTCTTTCAGATTTGTTAGCTTTGCCCTTGCATGTGTGTGTGCACAAAACATGTAGCCATGCAGCCAGTGGGGTTTCCAGTGGAGTCAATTGTTTACTTTCCCGTACTCCACACACACCATTTGGTGCTGAATCACAACAATGTCCCACTGGCTAAGTATGGGTGGTTTGCTCTTTCTGGAATCCATAAATACCACTGAGTGTAGGCGAGGTGGTTATTTGGAAGAACTGCGTGTGTTCTTTTCCTCCAAAAATGAACACCATGCTTCTTTAGAGTATTCTCAGCCTTTGCTGGCTTGGGCAGTGAGAGACCAAACAGGAGAACATAATACCCTGCTATTAAGTTGTCCAGAAAGTTTGTATTAGTTGAACTTTTTTCTCACCTGTAAATAAACCTCTCTTTTATTTCCCATTAAGTTCTTAGTTTCTTCGTTGATGCATGCACTTGGAGGACTCATAGATAAAAGTTGCTAGAAAGAAATAATTAAGGGTTTTGTATAGGATGATGCCACACTGTTTGAAACATGTATTGCTGTAAAATATTCCTTGTGGGTCTTTTATGTGTAACTCCAAAAAGCATTCAGTTTTTGTTATATTGCAAGGAGAAATATTTTGCTTCCAGCAATAGATACACTTTGGTAAAGTGCAGTAGTACTAGTTTAGTCTTGCAGGATATGCATTATTACAGTCCTACAAGAATGTAGCATTACCAGCAAAAAACCTATGTGCAAATATTCCCATATAAAACAATGTAGTTATAATAGGTAGAATTAGTAAGTTATATTACTGTATATGTTGGATGCTGGCTGAATAAAAATAAAGTTAATATTAACTAAGAGAATTGAAGTGAAATAAAAGGAAAATGGGGAAAAATCAGTTATTACAAATCATGACAATACAGATTTATGTTTTAGTGCTGCTAGGGGGCACCTTTCAGGGATGGTATCTTGAACCTCCAGTGCAAAGTGGGAAACTGCAGAATCCATCTCCACTGACTAGCAAAAGTCACCACCCACTTAAAAGCTCACCCGTAAGGCATCTAATGGGTACCCCCAAGAGGAATCATATCCTTAAACTGTTTCACAAAGTAAAATGTTAATTTGGAGTGATTTGTCTCAGCTCTCTGTAGAAAGCAAATGGCTCCAAGCTGCTTACAGCTGAGAAAGAAAAGACCCTTCCTGCTAAAGAAGCTGATATAGAAGTGCTTCTAAGATATATCAAAGCACTCAGAATTATAGCTGTGTAGAGAAAAGGAAAGGGAAAAGAGCCTCAGTTCCAGGGTAGTGTACATGGTGGGCTGCTCTGGTGCCACAGGGTGTGGAAGCTCTGGGGTCCCTGGCTCAGGAGTAATCTCGTTGGTAAGCTGCTGTGGACCCTGGGTTCCCTGGGTAGTTCTTCAAGTGATTACATTTGTCCATTCCAATGTAGGTGTGTGCACGCCCCTAGCACAGTCACCGGAAATTTTTCCCTCGGTGGTATCTGTCAGGTTGGCATTGGTGCCCTCTGGAACTGCGCACTCATAGCGCCGGTATAGCGCACTCATAGCGCCGCTGTGCCCCCTCCGTTCCTTTTTACCACCCGTGACAGTCACTGGAACTACTCTGTCCTTGCTTTGCAAGTACTTTCTCAGTGGACTTTATTCTCAATTATTGAACATAGTTAGTTTGCATAGTAAAGTTGTAGTTAGATAGACTTAGACATAGTTCGTTCTCCATTTAGTGGAATTTGTTCTCCGCTCCCGGTGCCAGGCCATGTCTCCGTCACCAGGTTTCAAGCCTTGTGCCTCCTGGAAAAAGGGTATGCCTCTGAGCAGCCCCATTCTAGCTGCCTCAAGTGCCTGCGGGAAGCTCACATTTGGGAGCACTGGAAGGTCTGCAGGGACTTCAAGCCCCATACCAAAAAAGACGGGGATGCTAGGCCATTTTAATGGAGGCAATGCTAATACCTCCCTCAGAGCCAGGACATTTGGATTCAGCACTGAGCACCTCGGCATCAGTGAGGAGCATCCCTGCTGCTGTTTGGGATGTTCAGCACAGTTCACCATCGTCGGTACCCGGGAATGACATTCCTGCCACCATGCGAGAACCTCGGCACTGTTCACCATCTCCATGGCTGAGGAGAAGCGCTCCTGCCGCCGGTTGAGAACCTTGGCACCATTCACCATCTTCAGTGCCGAGGAAGAAGCAGAAGAAGTCCGAGAGGGGACATTCCCCGACCCTGAGGTCAGCGGGCCATGGAGACGTTTGAAGAGTGCGACCTGCACCCGGACACTCTGTGACTCCAGCAGCACATGTGGTGTCATTGACTCCAGCCCTGGTGTGGGTGCTGTTGAGCCTGGCACCGGAGGGTCACTGTGGTACCAGGACTTTGGCGGTACCTTCCACGCTGGAGGCATTTGTCACAGTGAGATACCTACTCTCAATGTTGGTACCCATGTCTCTGGCTATAT